CCAGTATCCATAAGCAACACGTCGCGGAGATCTAAACGTCTTAACAACAAACAATGCTACCCAAAGAAATCGAGAACCCCAGTCGCCTGGTGGCATATAGCCCCGTGAACCTCGCTCAGGTTGGTCCATTCCCATACAAAGACACTTATAAAAACACTCCTCGTCCAGAACCAGGAACCAGACGATCTGAGCCAGCCATAATACGGTTCAGCTGTCCAATTGTGACAGCCCAAGCAAGGTGTACCGCCACAGACAGCCCAAACCACCCAAACTGAGGAATACGGTTTCAAGAAATAACGACAGGTTTTTCTCGTCATGTCCCACCGTACAGTTCCCGTCTACTCAGGAATATAACTCCAGTGCACCACCAACGTACATTAGTTCACAACCCAACGTGAATAAACCCAAAACTATCCCCTTGAGCGTTCAGAATAAGAGACGTTATACCTACCCTGGCTATGACATGAAAGCTAGCGTAAGTAACACCTATCCAGCGTTATGTGAAGAATCTACGCTCTGGAGCCTTCCGGAAAATCCATCTTTTTTCAGGCTTCACAAAATAATAGCACCTTTAGCCGTGCATATGATGATATACTCGAGTCAACTGCTGTCAGCTATAGCCAATTCAGTGGCAGAAATACTATAGTGACACCCTCCCATCCCCCAGGCTAATAATGATCAGTCATCGTTTGAGGCAGCAATGGGTAGTCCGGCATGCAACGCTAAGGAATTTGCTGATATCCCGAAATTTCCCACCCTACATCCAGTTGACTCAAATGATGACCATGAAAGAACACTTTTATCCGATCTTGTTAATGACCTAAGCCTTTTTGTAGCCCCATCAGAATTCTCTGTTTTCTGTTTAACTCACGTTCAATTTTCAATTAGCTAAATTATCTCAAATCTCTGGCTTCCTTGATCAAACCATGCTGCATTTTAATCACTAAAACTTGGTGTACGTCAGATACCTCAAACCTCAGGCTCACGTTAGATAATTACAATTTGTAACGTAATGACCGCGGTACTTCTAAAGATGGAGGTTGCATTGTCTATGTTCGCTCTGGTTTTTCATCTTCGAATGCCCTCCTGTTGGGTTGGATGCAGTATTCGTGAATATTAACACTTGCCAACATTACAAAATAACCGTTGGTTGCCTATATAGGTGACCGCACGCTGGACCTGCGGTTGACGAAAATATCAACGAAATACTCTAGCTGCTGTTTTCCCTACCAACTTGTGTAGTGGTAGGTGATTTTAATATGCCGGGTATCATATGGGAGACACTGCAAGGACCATCTCGTTTCAAACCATTTTTCCAAACCTTAGAAACCAATGGATGGGTTCAAGTTGTTAATAGCTGTACTCGATGAAATAATATACTTGACCTGATTTTTCTAAACAACGCACCACCATTCACGATACATACTAGCAGCGAATTCCAGGAAAGTGACCACAAGGTTGTAGCCTGTCGACTCGCACTATGTAGGTGCACTCCTACATTACTGAGGCCTACAACACTCGCAGAAGTTTTGTCAACGTCGATTGGCCAAGCTCACAATACTTAATACGCTGTCTAGATTGGGACGAGTTCTTTTCATCCGATGACCCGAACAACTCTCCTGCAAACTTCTATCTCAATTTAAACTTTTGTCTCGGTTCCGTAGCCCCAAAGAAAGCACAAAAGTCGCATGTTAACATCAAAGACTGCATCCCTATCACTTTCAGGCGAAAACTAAGGAAACTGAAGAAAAAAATTTTTCGCAGCCCTTTACTGAGAATAAAATTCTGAAACATCCAAATAAAACTGATCTTTTTGCCACTTCTCCTAAAAGGAAACTCTGTAATAGACCTGGCATGCTGAATATGTTGAAAGTAGGCAACAAGATTGTTACAGGCCCCATAGAGATATGTAAACTACTAAGCGAAACGTTTAGCCTTTCCTTCACTGATTGCAATTGCAGCCTTGCAACACTCAGTGACACTGCAGCACATAAAATCTCGTAAGTTGAGTTTAACCTGAGCAAAGTACGTGGCGCAATAAACTCACTGGAACCCACTCTTAGTGGGGGAGCAGATGGGATACCTGGGATTTTCATTAAAAAGGGCAGCACGGACTTCCTCATATTCCTAGCAAAAATATTCATCCTGTCCTTAAACTCTGGCACTTTCCCAGTTTCATGGAAGACTAGTCATATTACTCCGTGCTTTAAGAAAGGCTCCAGACTCAGCCCAGAAAATTACCGCCCCATCAACATAACACCTTTCCTTTCGCGTATAATGGAGAAAGTAGTGAAAAACGCCATCTTTTCTCACCTTTCGGATCACAAACTTATGAACTCCTCGCAGCATGGATTTCTAAGAAATCTTGTATCACGTGTCACCTAGAATTCTATGAACACGTAATTAACAGCAGAGACGATGGAAAAGTGGTTGTCTCACTTTACTTCGATTTCACCAAAGCCTTTGAAAAAGTGCATCACCCCTCACTCCTTCATAAACTGAATTCATTTGGAATAAGTGGCAAGTTGCATGACTGGATCGGCTCATTTCTGTTGAACCGCATCCAAGTTGTCAAAACAGGTTCACATTGTTCCCTTCCCGGAAATATCACCAGTGGAGTTATACAAGGCTCCGTTCTGGGACCCCTTCTCTCTCTTTATAATGTATATAAATGATATATGCACCTGCTTTCAATCAAGAAAAACCTTCCTCTTTGCAGATGACTTGAAAGTAGCGTACACTTTTCACCCTAATAAATGTGGCAGCATCAGTACCACCATACACAACGATCTTGACAAGCTACAAAGATAGTATGACGCGTGGCTGCTACCTCTGAATACACAAAAGTCCGGCTTTATGCTCTTAGGAGAACAAAGTGTTCCAACTAATCTTCGACTGAACAACATTGCACTCCAACAGCTAGGTAGTATTTGCGACCGTGGAATAAGATACTCCAGTGACCTTTTTTTACAGAACACGCATTGACACAGTGCTCCAAATCATGCCACCTCATCGATTTCATTAACCGGAATTTTCATCTAAATGAAACCAAACTGATTCTGTATAAGATGTGTTTGCGACCACTACTAGAATACTGTCCTATCGTACTTAGTTGCTTGCGGTCTAGTGACAATCAGAAAATAGAGAAAACTCAACGACACTTTACAAGACTTATTTTCATGGTAATTCATACAGAGGCAGATGCCATGCTAATCGTATGGAGCCTATGTAATTAAGGCGAATAAAGTTCAACCTCGGCATTTTCTATAAAGTCCTACACCATGACGTGACTACCAATGTAGATACAGTAAAGTTCGCTGACAAAAAAACCTACAGTCTTAGAGGCTGACTGCCTATTCACACTACCATATGCGTCCAAACAGCTCAAATCTTCATTTTTCACAACTTGTTACGCTGACACTTGAAACAGAGTGACGCATGATGCCCGATGCTGCAAGACCATATCTCAATTTCAACCAACCTAGAGCCACTACCTCAATGAACTTGGAGTATGCAGGATTCTTAGACGACACGATGTTTCTTATTGGCCCACCAAATATCTAGAGTCCAATAAGCAATAATCTAATGCAACCACGAAAAATTTATCAAACGGTGAGTAGTTTTTGTTGAATTACATACTATTCTATGCGAATTTGTGGTAATTGTGTTTGAGATGCTAGTTACCGTTCCTAACCTTAATGCTGTCATAGTTCAGCTACCCTTAACCCCTCCTACAAATAAACATTCCACCTACCATTCCCTTTTCTCCTTGCAATAAGCTAGGAGTTTTTGTACTGTGCAGTAGTCAGTTTTGCGTCATAAATCAAGCTTGACCATGCATGAATGGAAGTATAGTGGTCATAAGTGTTGCCTGATGTGTGGTACATACCAAGGGATGATTGAGTCAATAATGTACGCACGGTCTTAGCCAGCTGACAGTAAGTTGGAAGTATACTCATAACCATCAACTCTATTGTGTAGCACAAAAATATTTAAAAAATAACGTGAAAATATGCGGAGATGGTGATAACTGACCAACAGGCATGATGGCAGGGTGATAAACTTGAACTACCCTTGCAGATATAGATATATATGCGATTGTGCAGGTTGAGAATGGGTTGCTGAAGGAACCTGCTCTTCAATGAATTTCCCTGACGAGCCAGTGTACGCTTATTCTGAGTGTAAAACTAAGTAAATATACATAGGATTTTAGAACTGGAAAGGTGTAGTGTAGGTGTATGTAATATTTTGCAAACACCATATATTTGGTCACATTAGTTTTGATTAGTAGTCAATGTTGTAAGTAAATTTGCAAGAAGATAAGTTAGATTGAAATAGAGTTACATTCAGTGCTTTTATGAAGGTAACCAAAAACGACAAAGGTTCCGTGTTTGAAAGTTGGCGAAAATAAGATAACCCCACATTATACAGCCTACATAAGACAACAAGCAGTAAAATATCCCGAGTCTTACACGAACTGAACTTCTGTGCTATCACACCAGATAAAGTATTAATTAAAGGAGGGATCCAGATTAGTTCAGGAATATAAAATAACTACATCATTTAAATAAACCAGACACTTAGGAACTTCCATAAACTTTACTCTGCATTTCATTAAGTTTAAATATGATGAAAAACTAAGAACCTGAGGCACAACTAATGATACCTACCAGTTTATGCAAAATATGTGAAAGAGTCAAACATGCATGAAGGTTAATTAGTACAGTAAAAACATTTCGGACATGATAAATATATTTTCGTACTGACCGTCCACTTATCAAAAGTCCCAAGTCTGATATGAAATCATGCAAGGATATAAGGCAGTAAATGGTAAGTGTATTAACTTAATAGTCATGTCCTTCGAAAGTATAAGGCCTTCGAATATTTACCTGAAGAAGCTCAGACCACAGACATACGTGAGAAAAATTGGAATTATTTTATTTCAAATACGCTGTGACTTAAACAAATATAAACTACATACAATGTTAACCTTTTATTTACCGCCCAATATTTTGCGATACTATTCGGTCAAACCTTGATCATAGTTCATACAAATTACAATGACAAAAAGCTGGTAATTTAAAAATAGCATCAAAAAAGATCTACAATTTGTCTCTTGATGAAGCGAAATGGTAACAACAGCCCAACAGATTAACAAAAAGAAACTAAAAATTATACAAACTTATATTTTAGATATTACATTTATTTAGAAATGTTTGGTCCCATTGGAAAATCAATGCAGGTATAAGAAAAGAATAATTATGGTTAACCAGTTAGAAAATACAAATTATGTTGAAAAATAATCACAGTTTTAAAATTGTTGCTTTACAGGTAAAGATTAAAAGCATAATACGATTTAAACCTACTCTACTTACTTAGATGTAATTGCACAGTGGTCAACGTCACAACATGCACTATTCAGCTAAGTTATTTCCTTTTTCACCTTCTGATTGGTTAAACCAAAGAAGAGGCAGTAAGCCCAGGAGACAGCCAATGGTAATACCAACTATTCGTCCCTAAAATGAACAAAGAACACAGCAAAAACCAAACTTCAGAAACCAGAATACCATATGTGATATCTGTTTCGCCTCTATGTTACACGGACTTAAAGACATATTTGCACTGTCTCGACTACAGGTCTAAAGTAGCAAAATAACAAAAATACTCTGGTTTGACGATGTTTCACCGTTAAAATGAGTACCAAAAATTACTACTACCGGAGAACAAACGTATTTTACTCATTATTATCGCCACAATCAGTTATGAACAACACCACAACACACATGGCGACATCCAAATTCATTCTAATGGGTGACATGAATGCAAAACTGGGAGCGGACAACACAGGAAGAGAACCAACCATGGGTCGAGAAGCACTCGGTGAAATGAATGAGAACGGAGAACTGTTTGCAGATTTCTGTGCATTCAACGACTTGGTGATTGGAGGCGAGGCAGTCTGTACAAACACAAGGATATTAACAAGTCAGCGACATGGATTTGACTTCACTAGACACCAGGACACACTACACTAAAAACCAGATCGACTTCATCTCAATGTGAAGAAAGTGGAGACGCAGTCAGCCTACTCGACACAAGATCAGATCACGAAGAGGAGCAAATGTAGGTTCACACCACTCACTTCACTATCTGGTGCAAGGAACCTACCTTCAAAATCAAGTGGAAAGCCTTCAAAGAAGTTGGTGGTGATCAACCACAGTTCAAGTTCAACAACCAGAAACTGAAGGACAAAACTGTAAAGGACATCTTCACCTCAGCCATCAGAACAAAATGGGGGACATAAGGCAACATCCCTGAGGAAACCTGTGTGGAAGAAGACTGGAACTCTTTGAAAGCTATGTGGAAAGAAGCCTGCATAACCGTGTTAGGAAGGAAGAGGAAAGAAGACAAGGAATGGATCTCGACGGACACATAGAAGCTGGTAGACGAGAGGAAGATGGTGAAGCAGAAGATGAACCAGCGCAAGGATGCGTGACGAAAAGAGGAACTGAGTACAACGTACAAAACACTGAACAAAGAAGTGAAGAAGAGTGCGCTCAAAGACAAAAGACACCTCCACCACACACTTGCAAGTGGAGTAGACTAGGCTGCTGGTAGGAGAGACCTGACAACACTATGTCAACTGACCAGGTTACTATCTGGGAGGAAAGAGATCAACACAGATGAAACCAGTGGAAGATAGTAAAGGAAACTTAGTTACCAAAGAGGAGAAACAAAGGAAACAATGGGCTGACCACTTCAAAAAGCTCTCGAATCGATCAACACCTGCAACTCGTCCAGAAATACCACCAGCAACGGTAGAACTACCAGTGAATACAGGCCCTCAATCAAAGGCAGAAGTCCTGGATGCCATGAAACTGCTGAAATCCGACAAAGCAGGAGGACCAGATGGAATTCCTCCAGAAGCACTGAAAACAAACGCAGAGACAACTGCGAAAATGCTCATACCACTGTTGCACCAGGTTTACAAGGAAGGAAGGAAAGGTACCTGCCAAGTGATTGGGAGAAGGGCTACCTTATCAAACTCCCAAACAAGGGAGACCTAAATCTCTGAAAGAACTGGCACGGAATCATGCTTCACTCCTGTCCACCCTAAGCAAAACACTAAGCCACATCATCCTGGCGAGACCAAACGATGCACTGGATTCAAAATTACCACACAAACAGGCTGGCTGCCTTCAGGAAGAACAAATCATATCCCGATCAAATTGCAACGCTACGCTAAGCATCATCATAAAACAGAGCACAGAATGGCAGTCAACTCAACTCAACCTCAACTTCATCGACACTGAAAAGGCCTTCCACAGTGTTGACCGAGAAGTAATTTGGCATCTGCTGCTCCAACACTGAGGTTTTAGTGCCACAAACCTTTATCAACCTCATTCAACAGCAGCTAGATGCTATATGATGCTACATGTCAAGTGTTTCTCAACGGAAAGCTCAGTGAAGACAGGAGTAAGACAAGGCTGCCGCCTACCATCACCCATGATCTTCCTGGTTGTCGTCGACTGAAATACATCATGCAGCTTACTCTGAGGGGCTAGACGAGGGGCATACGCTGGTCGAACCGATAGAAAGACCACAGAAGAAGATTTGGATTTCGCCTCAGATAATTTATGTCTAATGTCTTGTCGCACAAACTCAAAGATCTACAGGCGAAAACCAACAAGTTGACAGAAGAGGCAGGGCAGAGAAAACGGGACTTCAAGTGAATGTAGAGAGGACGGAGGTGATGAAGATATCCAACCAACAACAGCATCAACAGCAAGCACCAATCACCAACCAACGAGAGAAACTCAAAGAAAGTTGTCACTTTCACCTACCTAGGCAGGACAGCATCGTTTCAACTACAAGCGACACAGGCACAGATGAGGACGTCAAAGCCATGATTGGAAAAACAGCGAGACAGGCTTTCAGTAACCTGAAATCAGTATAGAGATCTATTGCACTCCACTTCACTCAGCATACAGTGTGAACAAGATTCGGATCTTCAACACTAATGTCAAGTAAGTCAGTGCTTCTATATGATCGTTCAGAGACTTGGAGCGTTTCGAAAAGTATTTCCAACAAACCACAGACATGCATTACGTCAACAGCTGCCGCCTACGCCCACTCGATACTGAAGAACACATCAGATGGCCAGAATAATGAGAATAAGTAACAAGGAACTCTGCCTGGCTGGCTGGCAGAGGACCAACGAAAATCCCATCGCCCAACAAATATGCAGAAGGAAGTGGAGATGGATTGGATTGGATCGGATTGGGCACACACTGAGAAGACTGTTTAGAGACGTCACGCGCCAGGCCAGGCCATCGAGTGGAACGCAAAGGGGAAGCAACGGGTTGGGCGTCCCAGCTGAGGGTGACATGGGAGAGATCGTGTGAGGAAGAAATGAAAGCTTGTGGGTGGTCGTGGAGCCGGGTTCAAAAGACTACAGAGTGAAATGGTGACGTGCTACTGAAGCCCTATAATCCACTAGAAACCCAAAAGACAAATAATAATTTTATAATAATTATTACCATTATCACACTTAAATTGTTAGCTGTTTTTTTATATTTTGTTGGTTCTTTTTTTTACGCTTTTACAATGAAGTTCGTCTGTTCCATTCCCACTTAAAGCAACCAACCGAAAATAATGACTGCATGTTATAATCATAACATGCAGTCATTATTTTCGAACACAAGTAGTCTACGGCATGATGGGAAGAATAGTACAGCACTTCAGGTCATATAACTCAACAAAGTTGTATGGTCACATGACTTCGGCAATGAATCACACTTATTGTGAGGACTGTTAAGTTACCCAGTCGCTTGGATAGCGGGTTCGGGGCCGTAACCCAATGGTGGAAAGTGCAGAGCCCAGTAAAAAAGAGCTACAAATGATGCGATCAACGCATTATTAACGTTGGGAATGAATAATGACATCTACTTTCATTGTACAGTAGGGTAGAGTCAATTATTTATCACGAAATGCCTCCTCATCAGCGGAAGTTTATCTCAGGGACATATTGAAACGACAATAAGGTGAAATAAGTCTCATCTCAATCATTGCAGACCTGTTGAATACTGGCTACTTAATACGATAAAGGAACATCTTTGCACGTCCAACACAAGTATATCGTTGTTCGTCGCTTTGCGTAGCCAGACTATGTGTCGTTATCACTCTTGCTGCTATTCAGTGACAGACAGAAAATTCATGAGGCATTTTTATCTTATGATGTACTGAAGTAGAACAATCTGGGAAGTCGATCAATTTAAGTTTTAGGATTTCAATTGAGTGAATCGCTTTTAATTCGAGGCAGCTATCCTAAAATACTTAAGATATTAACGGTTGAAATGCATTTTATGTCTTATATTTCCGTAGTGTAATTTTTTTTTATTGTAGCAATTACCTCGATACGTAAGTTAAGTTTATATTTTCCCGTTAATCAGTCACACTATGCCTGCTGCTTCTCAATCCCTTGTGCGCTGTTGAAATAAACAGTACCTGAAGCACATGGAATAAGATGGATATATGTCATCATACGGTTGTAGACTTCGACTTCAAAGCAAGAAGTTCTCTTGTTACATTCAACTGACCCTCAACAGAAAATCATAAATATACATATAGCGGATATATGTATTAATTTTAATATCCAAGCAGGAAGATCGAGACGCGTAAAAAGACACCAGGTAATTTTGGAAAAGCAGGTGTGACTACCGATAACAGCAGCTGTCAACTACTACACTGATGACCGATAGACACAATCAACGTAAAACCTCGGACACAAGTGCATGGTTCAAGTCGACACAGTTTACAGCAGCGTGAAAAGAACAAGTTGATGGAAAAAGAGTAGGCCATAAAGAATTTTGAAAATAAAGCCTAGTGAAAATGTTCAAACTTTCGAAAACGTCAAGAAGTGAATACATCTGCATCACTACGACCGATTTTCAACCAAGCCATCAACAACCTACAATCACTGACTGCTATCATCCTGACAACCCTAAACAGATAGTCTGCACCTCCCTACATGCCTCAGACCAATAGTTAGGGACATCATGGACCGGTGCTACTTCTTGGTTTGGCCACCCTAAACCTTCTTCCAAGTCAAGCTTACTTCAGATAAAACCGCACTTTCGGATATGCCCAACACGTCTAAGTCACCTTCATCGGTGAAGCTTCACAACCTCATCGACTGACTTACCTGCCTTACTTGGCTCCCTTCGCCTAACTTCGACATTACTAACATGGTGAGCAAAGCTACTCATACATCAGCGGCCACAAAGTTGTAATCCTTTCAATAGTCAAGTCTCACAACCACATAATGAAACAGAACGGAAAGCAGAGCACTACTCTCATCTTTTAACAGGTAGTTGGATAACTCACCGAGAGCAGAGACGAGTTAAGTTGGCGAACGTCAATATGGGGTTTTTTTATCGTAGCAACCAACCAATTAAAGTCGATGCAAATCACCAAGTGGAGTGATCAACGTGGCCTATCACTTCACTTCCTATACTTA